TACGTAAATAACGCATTTCCGATTCCAGGACAGTTTTCCGTAAATACGGACACATCGGAAGCCCGATATTAAAAAGTTTTGCTTGACGTATGATATTTATGTGATTCTGATAAACTAACTTATGTGTTTCTGTAGCCTATAATATTTCCAATATAGACACGGATACCGACGTCTCTCTACAAGTGATCCAGTTTTGCTAATTTTAGTACGAAATAGTATTAACGATGTTTCTAAACTCAAGCCCACGCGAGCGAAGCCGGGGGGTAAAAAGCTATTAATAAATATATCTAATTGTACGAGTTTCATCGAGCAGAGCCGTCAGTATGGATTTCGACTTACAGGAATCATAAAAAATCGAAACTATATTTAGCTTCACCTGCGAGCACTTGGTGCATTTGACCAGTTTTCATTATTTTATTATATATAGTTTGAAATAATTAAATAAAATTATGCTATTAAAGGCCACTTAAATAAATTAGAGATAAGGCGTCCTTTACATATTTACGATAAATTAAAAAAAGTGTAATTAAATGTTTTCAAAATGTACACCAAACCTATCAAACGTGTGTGAATCAATGATTTCAGATACGAAATATAATTTTTTATGGTATTTATATCATGCAATTTTTATATTTTTAATTGTCCATAGAAACTTTAAAATATATTTAAGGTAAATGGATGTATGTCTCTGTATTTATTTATTTATTCTTTATTCTACACCAAAATACAGAATAACGAGTCGAGTTAAATCTAAAGTATTATAGTACTATATAGTAGTATATAGTCAGTATTGGCATTATGTACAACAGGCGGCCGTATCACTCTGAAAGTGATCTCTTCCACAACAACCTTTGCGTAGAGAACTGATGTAATATAAATAGTTAAAATACAGGGGGCGTACAAAAAATACATATATAATACATTTAAGTCCAAATGGTATATGATATGATAAAGTAATTAAATGAAAAGAGTATGAAAGAGGAAAGGTAATTTATCTAATAGCGTTCTAAGTAATACGATTTGTTAAGGACTTCTTAAAAAGGAGGAAGAGTGCAAAGAAGTAAAGAGAGGAAGATTGACAGAGAATCGAAGGACCGATTATGGATAAGGTAAAAATACTGGAAACGGTCTTTTAAATAACGAGGAGTGAAATCATTAAACAGTACGCCATACAAAACAGAGATAATGTGAGTATTCCTGCGAAGGCGAATCGAAAACATATGAAATTATATTTGCGGAGCACAAATATAAATCTAATACATAAATTTTAGTGGTAAGTGGTTCCCGTGGCCCATAAACATCTACATCTATCCTCGATTATGAATCAAAATGCAGATACGTTGTCACCCGTGAGAAATAAGATGGAATGCCTCGTTTCCAGTAAAAACGGTCTCGGTTCTCTACACTCACCATACGAAACACAGCAGCATTAAGCTACTATTTCACGCTGGTATTCTGTAAGAGCGTGGTCCTCTTCCCCGGTCGAGCCGACCCATTCTTGCTACAACTATACTACTAATATACCATATGAATTAAAAGATCGCATCAATTACTTAAATATGCTGGCAGTGTACGGTATACTACCTGGTCACACAATCCCTACCAGGGAAAAAAATTGTTTGGACCATTTTATGATGAAAATGAATAAAACCAAATTCCATGCAACAATAGCTGTATTACATACTAGTACTACGGACCACTTTACCACATTTCTTTCGATATCAAAAATAAAAAACCATCAAATAGCAAGCAAAACTAGAACAATTGTAAATTATGAAGCTGCTGCGCTAGACCTTGAAACTAAAAACCTCACAGAATTGCTCTACTGCAATGACCCGGATGCTGTGATAAATGGTCTAGTGTATAGTTTAAAGGAGATAATTAAAAACAATACTGTCGTTACAACTATACCTAAAAAAAATCGTAACATTAAGCCATGGATCACGCCTGGAATTCTGCGCTGTATCCGAAATCGAAATAAATTGCAAAAGAAAGTAAAAGACGACCCCTACAATGAACTTAATAAAATTATATATATTAGATATCGAAATTATTGTAACAATCTTATTAAAAAACTAAAAAGACAATATGAAAGAGAATTATTGAATAAATCTATTAATAATAATAAAAAATTATGGAAAAATATTAAAAATATTACCTTTACCAGTATGAGTAATAATAACAATAATATAGATCTACTAAACGTCATGCCCTCTCCAGCTGCATCTGCGGATTACGTAAATCACTTTTTTTGCAAATATAGGGAGACAACTGTCTCAACAGGTACAGCTGTCTCAAGAGGAATTGAATGATTATTTGCGTAACTTACCAACTCAGTCAAACTCTTTTGTTTTGCTTGACACTGATCAGGATGAGGTGTCTAGTACACTACTGTCACTAAAAACGAGCAGTGCCCCTGGCTGGGACAACATTCCTACCATATTTCTCAAGCGTGTAAGACTTCAAATTGTACCGATCTTAACTCATTTCATAAATCTTTGTTTTCACAAGGGGACCTTTCCATCGCTATTTAAACAGGCTATCATTACTCCAGTTCACAAATCAGGGGATAGAGACAGTGTAACTGATTATAGACCGATCTCTGTCTTGCCCGCCATTTCTAAGATAATGGAAAAGTTGCTCAATTCGCGGTTACTTAACTATCTGAACAGATACAATATTTTATCTCCCTCTCAGTATGGTTTTAGACAGGGAAGATCGACTGAAGACGCAGTCTCTGCGTTGAGCTCGCTGGTGGTTGAGAAACTTGATAGTCACAAAAAATGCATGGCAGTATTCCTTGACTTACAAAAAGCGTTTGACACTGTCTCTATCCCTATCCTGCTGCGTAAACTGGAAGCAATTGGTATGAAGGGAACACCACTAAATTTGCTCAAGGACTACCTGTCTAATAGGAAACAGAGGGTAAAACTTGATTCCTTCATTAGTGGAGACTCGGAAGTGACATATGGTGTACCTCAAGGTAGTATCCTTGGGCCTACTCTTTTTCTCATTTACATTAATGACCTTTGTGATATGAAAATAAAAAATGCTCAAATCCTTTCATACGCTGATGACACAGCCGTAGTCTTCAGTGCAGACTCATGGGAAAACGTAAGGAAACAGGCTGAGAGTGGCTTGAAACAGATAAACAAGTGGCTAAGCAATAACCTCCTTTCTTTAAATACCACCAAAACTAATTATATTTGCTTTAGTATTTATAATAATACACAACCACCAAATGATTTCTCTATAAAAATACATAAATGCAATACTAGCCCAAATGTAAAAACTTGTAGTTGTCCTGAAATTCAGAAAGTTGACCAAGTAAAATACCTAGGCGTCTATGTAGATCAGAGGTTGTCATGGTATCCGCAGCTGGAATATGTTTCCTCAAGACTCAGAAAATTAATCTGGATCTTCAGGATGTTGAGATACGTGGTGCCCAGGATGGTTGACAACCAAACTAGCTCTGAAAAAGGTCTCCTTATTAAAATATATTACTCGCTGGTGCAATCTATCTTGATATATTGTATATCTATCTGGGGTGGTGCTGCCAAAACCCGTTTTATTGAGGTAGAGCGGGCCCAGCGAAGACTAATTAAGACCATGTGTTTTCAAAATTTGGGGTTTTCGACCGAGCGTCTTTACCAAAACACTGGTATTCTTTCTGTTAGGAAATTATACATAATGCAGGCAGTTTTAAGAAAACATTTATCCTTGCCTTACAATCCTGATATCAAGAATAGGAGAAGACATGACATTGTTGTACGAGCTCCTCGAAGCAACACTGCCTTTGCTAAAAGACAATATACCAAACGGTCAGGACATCTATATAATACAGCAAACAAGGTATTGGGAATATATGATAAAGTCTTTTTTGAATGTAGAAGACTTCTTAAGATATGGCTACTCCCTAAGTCTTACGATGACACTGAGGCTCTTCTAGAGTAATGAAGCAATAATTAAATTACATTATATTATTTTAGAATTTTACACACAAACACACCACTCAGTTTCACACACACACACACACACACAAACAAACACACACACACACACACACACGCACACACACACACACACACTCACACACTCACACACTCACACACACACACACACACACACACACACACACTCACTCACATACACACACACGCGCGCGCGCATTCAGGCTTATGTTGCTTAAGTTGCTTTGGCTGATTTATAAATGTAAATAAATAAGTATATTAAGTCATTTTTGTTAGACCACATATATTATTGTTACTTATATATTTTTATTTTGTTTCGTAATTATTATTTATTAAGTTTTCTTGTAAGAAATGACCTATTTTAAGGAAGAGCAGTGTCCCCTGGCACAGGCTGATTCAAGCTTAAAAGGAGACACTGGTCACATATATTCTAAGTACTTAAACTGTTACAGCAAATAAAACATTATTATTATTATTATTTATTATTATTATTAATATAACTACAAGGCTCTACCACGTATAAGGGAGATAAAAAACTGAGTCTCTTTGTTCAATTGTGACGGCAAACTCCATGACGCTCTCTTATATCGTCATGCCGTCACAATCCCATCGTTGCTGCGCGTATACTATATACTGTGCTGGTTCTCTGTGGTTTTCTTCAATAACCCATATGAACACCAGCTACTCATCTAATTTCATTATAGTTAAGTCATTCAGTTATTTTATGAGCAGTAGTCTTGCGTTATATTATTTTTTAATTTGTCGTTGTAGTTGACGTCTCGTTGGTTTGGTAGTCCTAAACGCGAATGCTGATCATGAGGTCCTGGGTTGAGGTTGCGGTGTTTCACCCCGTGCTTTAGGAGGATTACCATTCCATCAGACTATGAGAGTAAGGGAATAAAGAGTTAACCGGTGCTTGCGCCCATACTTCGGCACTATAATCCTGTAAGCACTATAAAGTGTCATTTGTGGCTGGCCGCCGTTTTCGTATTATTATATTAAAAAGCGGTATCATGTTGATAAGCTCACCGAGTATGGCGACAACCTCATCGTCCTGAATGACCTCGAGTGAGCCGGTGACGATAAAGCAGAGCGAGTCGATGGACTCGCCGGTGTGGTAGAGTAGGTCACCAGGCGCCGAGTGCGACATGTGGAAGTGCATGGCGAGGGCGCGCAGGCAGCCGTCCGACGCCAGCCGGAACGCCGGGTGCTCGTTAAACACCTTGCGATTCAGGTGGACGCAGATGTCCGCCTTCATATCCTTCGGACAGTAGTTCAGTACCTGCCGAACATTTAGTGTACGGAAGAACCTAACAAATAAGCTCCAACATCTACCGTTACATGTTTATTCAGTTTACTTAAATTAAATTTATCAGTTCTCTGTTGTCATAACGTTTAATTCCCAAATTAAATTATTCAATGCTACTAGTACTACCGGCTGAAAATTTTCTTCCAACGCTACTCTCTGCTTTACTAGTATTTTGAAATTCATACATACATGCATAATCTCTAACGCCTCTCACCCAGAGAAGTAGGCAGAGAAGACCTACTCCCATTTGACACGATCCTGACACGCCTTTCTCGCTTCTTTCACATTCATATATACTCGATGATTTTTTTTTTACCGTCTGGAAAATAAACAGGTTGTAACAGGTAAATACCACTAATTTGAAATAACGAAATAATCATTCAAGTCATACGGACCCTAATTTACGAAACAAAAATTTAGTAGGTCTCTGTGTCCTTGCCCTTTCGCAGGGTCACAAGTTAAAGGGCAATGCTTTAGTGACCTGTAATTGGCTGCGGCGTAAAATCGCGTCGCCGTCGTGCTGTTTATGTTTTATAAACATATACCAATACTCTAATTTCGAGTTGTCTGGTGGAAATTTAGATGGTGCAACAAAATGATATTTATTCGTATTGGAATTTATAACGTGCACAATGAGCAGAGTACATGTTCATCAAGTTCGTTTCTGTGCTAACTTTGGGGTGGCAATTATCAACGACCAAATCATTGGTCCTAAATTGATTGAAGGTCGATTGAGGGGAGTAACGTATCTACAAATGATACATTCCATCATCAACACAATGTTGGAAAACCCCCTGACCTATCTGCAAGGAATATACATCCAGCACGACGGATGTCCAGCTCAATACGAACGATCTGTGTGTGCATATCTGGACACCCCATTCAGTGATAGGTGAATTGGTCGCGGTTGACCTGTGAATTGGCCGGCGAGCTCACCTGACCTAAAACCTCTAGACTTTTATTTGTGGGTCGAACTAAAATGATAATTTAGTGTTAGTTTGATTTCTTTTTGTTTTAAAGTTTATATTTTGTTAAGTTTTTTTTCTTATAGTGATGTATATACCTGTAAAGACATATCCATAAATGTAGTATTTTGGTTATAACAATGTTTATTGATATTGTCAATGGTGTATCTATCTAAATAAATATATAAATAAGTGTACACAGAAGAAGCACAAAGTGTTAGTGAAAGTTTAACAAACAAATTACAAAGATTGTAGGTTCTAGTTTGTGTTTAGTAAGAAACAGTAGACATTTTGAAAAAATACTGTGATATCGCTAAAAAGATTTTTTTTTGTAAACAAATGTAATGTAGTATAATTTTGTAAATATCAATCTGTGTAAATTGTAAATAAGTTAATTTCGATCTTTTAAAAACGTTTAAGATGTTGCAGTATACGGTAGGCATATAATTCGTAGCCTACGCCGCACCGTTTTAAAATAATTATTAGTTTTATGCAATTGCGGTAAGAGGAATTGTTTTTATGTATTTTTTTTATATTCGGAAATTTTGCCTATCAGTTATATTTTACAAAATACTTTCGAGAGTAGCTTCTATTCCCCTTACACAAAATATTTTTTACCACCATATTATTTTCCCGACGGTACAAATAGTCACTCACTATCTACGCATGCATACTCTTTGGTTAAATCACCAATTCGGTCGATAAATTTCTCTTTAATTTTTGATTTCTTCCCGTTGGTGACTATATTATTTACTTTTGCAGGTTTAGTCTACTTTGTCACTCTTCCCTCATTCGATTTTTCTACTCGTGTGAACGACCGAAGCAATCCTTTTTTCAGCTTGATCACAACATCTTCCCACGACTAAATCACCCATTTTCCAAATTTGTTGCCCGCAATCGCCGAGTAGCCGAGTTGCTGAGTGCAGAAACGAAACTCTCGCACTAATAATCTGTTTCTCATAACCAACCTATAGGAACTGGACTTAGATGTTGTGCATATTTTGATGAATTTTCCACCGACGGTTAGACATCAGGGCAGCCTTGTTATCACCAGAGTGCTGCGTATAGTAAAGCACTCAATGCGTGCTTTAAAAGCATTCGTAATACATTTATTTATCGGGTTATTTTGACAAACTTTTTGTCTCATGCATTTCACAAGTAAATAAAACAGCTAAAGTTCGCACCTTATCCGTGTCGAGACCCTTGGTCATGGCCCAGGTGGAGACGACGTAGTCCATGACGCGCTCGCTCAGTGCTTTGGGCACCTCGTGCAACTTCATGAACTCGCGCACGTTGTTTAGCATGTCGTGGTACTTGGCGGTGGCGGAAGTCATCTGCTGGATGATGGTGGTCACGTGCCCGAATATCGTCGCGTACAGCAGCGCTGCGGGCGCAAGCTCACTGGTTAGCGCTCAGAGGCGCACCTGCCTCGCTCCACAGTCCACAACCAAGTGCTGAGCTTTGCCTTACAATACTACACATACCTACTGTTCCCTGGTAAGGGAGCGTGGTATATTGAATACAAACATTTGATCAACAAACTTAAAGTTTTTTTTTTAAAGATTAAGGGTGACAAATGAGCACACAATCTACCTGATCGTAAGCAAATACTCGGGCATCTACATTTATCCTTATCGAAGAATCAAGAGGTGAAAATGCAGGTGCGTTGTCACCTCTGAGGGCTACGATGAAATGCCTCGTTTCTAGTAAAAGAGGCTTCCGGTTCTCTACACACGCCATAAGAAACGTAATAGCATTAAGCTGCTATTTTACGCTGCTATGCTGAGGGAGAAATGGTTCCATAACCCTCTCAGGAGAAGAGGCCTGTGCCCGACAGTAGCAGTTACATATGTAGATCAGCCTTACTTTACATCTTAGCTTTTTATTATTTATTAAAATCTCATTTGTCTAAACATGTGGTTATTTCCAATTATTACCAGTTATGGTCGCAATTTAAGATTAACTGATTTCTTTAACAACAATCTGTAAGTGACACATACATACCTAGATTTATATAAGGATTAGCGTTGAACAACCTGAGAATGAAATATTTTATGACACGCGTGGTGCTTCACGTGCAGCTCTCCGCGAACAGTTTCCTTGCACGCAGGTCACGGGTACTTTTGGTCCACGCTAACGTAATGAAAGAGCTCAGATATTGCGTCACTACTGGACTATTGAACGATTCAAGAAAATATAGCTCGGGGGTCCGGGGTCATAATTATCTGTGATTGTGTGACAAAATAACTGACACACACGGAAAAAGTAAACTAAAATGTCTTCTGCAGCGTTAGACGTAAGCATAAAAAATTGTCAACTTGGAATGTTTAATAGCATGAAAGCAGTTGGTATTATTACTATGATGGTTTTCAACAAAAGGGGTTGCAATATTTGACAGACTGTGATATTGATAGTAACAACTGTAAAGGAAGATAGCATATCAATAGTGTACTAATCTGATTTTTCTTTCTTTCGTTTTGAGATATTTAGAGATATTTTAGCGTAGAGCAAAAGTATTTTGTGGGTGTGAGGAACTAGACACCGCGACGCTTCGTGGGCCTGCACGGAGGGAGGGCGGGTGGATCGTCGGGAGACCAAACTATTTCGTAAAAATATCTTATATAAAACATAGAAAAACTAAAAAGTAACCGTTTTAATTAATTCAGTAAATTGTTATTTTAACCAAGTAGGCTAAAAAGTAACAATTTACTGAATTAATTAAAATTATGAATTATAAAAACCAAGGTATAGAATTATACAAAGAAACATCATAAGAAAAATCATATAAGAAACGTCGCAGTTGTGTATGAGAAGTGACACGCAAGCAACACACACACACACACACACACACACACACACAAACGTGCGACAGATAACATAATTGGTCAAACAACAAAACACAAGGCAAGACAAGGACGTGAAGTGTTGGGATGTGGTGTGGGGGGTAGGAGGGGCGCGGCCCCCGGGGCAGCGGGGCTGCGCGGGGGTCGCGCCGTGTGCTCCGGCTAATAACAGAAGAATTTCGGCACCTGCCACAATCATCATGCAGATGGTGAAGATCTTCTCGTTATCGGTCTCGGCGGCGACGTTGCCGAAGCCCACGGAAGTCATGCAGGTCATGGTGAAGTAGAGCGCGGTGACGTACATGGTCTTGCGTGAGGGACCGTTCACGAGTTCGGGTCCGTCCGACTCGTTGGACCACACGTACGAATAGGGGCTCTGGGTGACGTTGGCGAGTTTCCACAGCCACGAGTACTGCAGGCCAGAGTCGGCGTCGGAGCGACCGATGCTGTACCACACGCAGGCCAGCCAGTGCGCCACCAGCATGTAGAAGCACAGCAGCAGGATGAGCATGGCGGCGCCGTACTCCAGGTAGCGGTCCAGCTTGCGCACCACGCGGCCCAGACGCAGCAGCCGCACCACTTTCAGCGCACTGAACAGGCTGCCGATTCCCTGTGCGTTCAACACGTCCCGTTGAAAATCCATCTACATATATGAGCAGATTTTATAAACTTAATAAACTACTAACTTTATTAGGATGTTTGCATTTTCAACAAGTTCATCACACCGTAGCCGACTTCCTCCCTAATAACCCGACGGCTCCGTGGCGCAGTGGTTAAGCAATGAGTTGCAGCGCTAAAGGCGGCGGGTTCGAATCCCACACGTAACAAATATTTATATTTGGGCCACAAATGATAGTTCCGTGTCTGGATTTTTATCCGTGTGAAATTTACATTTATAAACTGCCCCCATAAAACAGGAGAAAATCCTAGTAACGTATCTTATCCTAATGAGGTAACGTTTAAAATTAGAATAAATGCTCAAATGTTTTTCAATATAATAATTATAATTCACGTTCAATCGAATTCCTAGTTTTGTTCAGAGTCCTTGATACAAATAGCTGTATATTGACGATTTCTATTAATCTTATTGTGCATGCAGTTCACGTAATTATTGTTAGGTTATCAAAACAAAAGTATGATGCATGTGATGCAATTACTATATTTATAAATTAAATTGTTTCCCGATATAAACTACCAGTTGTTTACAATTTTCTACACATAACGCAAGACATTTTTGGCTGCAAGACAAAAAAGCGGAGGAAGGACAACGCTCGCACAGAATAAAATAGTAAATTATGAGCTCAATGTTGCTGTTGTTCGTAAAGTAGAACCGGTGACCCTTATCACTGGTAAAAGGCATTCCATCTTAGTCCTCAGAGGCTAAAATTCAACTGTATTTTAGTTGTAACTCCAGGATAGTTGTGATCATCGTCTATAGCATCAGGTGGACTGTACGCCTGATTGTTAATCTTGTTTCAATAATAAATCATCAGCCAGCGTATAGTTGTCTGGACATATCGAGGACAAGTATTCCAGTTCATTGTCACAATCTATTAGATTTCTGGTGTTCCAAGTCCATATCTGAGAAATACATGTTGAACAATCTCTAGTCTACTACGATACAGTAGAAATACAGTGTTATTTTGCAATATACACCCAAACAGAGAAGGTTTAGAATTAGTAATATAGGCGCATGGCGAAGAAAAATTGATTAATAAAAACTCAAACATCCTGTGCTTTTTTCGTTTTAAATTTAGAATGCGTGGTGATGCATTATTTTAACTGGTTGACAATTATAAAAATATCTAACGCCTACTATTTTACTACGCACGCACACATGCGTAAGAGTCGCTTTGTCGGCAATAACGATGTGAAATGAGGAGCGCGCGTACGCGTAATTGTTGCCCAAAAATCACATTCAATTTGGGATAATTTCAAATAAAAGTACAAGCCTTATTTACTCCTATTTTTAAAACCTGCAATAAACGAATATCATTATTTATATTTGAACTTTAATATAAAAATTTGGATACGCTATGAAAAATAACACTGTATTTTAATATTACATATTTTTATTTCGAATTTTCAGTTTTTTTAAAACTCTATGCCTTATTTTACGTTGAAATAAAAATGTATCATGAAACTTACATCCTCATCGTGGTCGAAGGCGTTGAACACGTCATATGGAAGACAAGACAGCAGGTCGATGAGGAACCAAGACTTGAAGTAGTTCTTTCTTATGACCTTCGGATCGCTGACCACCTCTCCACCCGGTCCCACAAATGTCGTGTGAAAGTTGAGCACGATGTCAATGAAGAAGACTACGTCCACGATGGAATCGATGACGAGTAGCGACACGTCCTCGCTCGTCTTGTTCTTGAAGGCGACGTTGTAGGGCACCATGATGGCGGTGTAGAAGGTAAGGCAGAGGATGATCCAGTCCCAGATGGCTTTGAAGGCGCAGTAGTGGAGCAGGATGTGCGGCGGCGTCTTGGGCGCCTCCTGGCGGTACTGCGGCAGCACGTCGCCCGACAGCGACAGCACCTGCCACATGCCGCGCGCCGCGCAACACTATGTAGTACCACACCGCCCGCTCAGTACACTGCGCGCCAGCGGCCGTGCCCGCGTGCTACCGTGCAGCGTGTGCAGTGTGTCTCCAGAGCCAATAGCGTGCCACGAATACAGGGGGGTGCGGAGACAGAAGACAAAACACAGGTGCTCTCGACATGAACAAGTTCAGAGCGTGCGTTTAGTTTTGATCACTGAGTGCAACGGTGCAATAGCTTTAGTTTTCGAAATTACATTTAACTACTCGATTAATGAGACCGCAAATTCGGAGAACTGTATGTAAGTAAAATTAAGCATGATATGCGTGTGAAGAAGATTAAAGTGCTACTCAAGAATTATATCATTTTACGAGATAACAATCAAGAGAAAACTCGGAAAGAGTCATCGTTATTCTTTTAGTACTTCAGCTGAGTGCGGTCATAACCATATTTTCGGAGAAGTCTAATAAACAAAACGTTTATTATTTTTCATGTACATACTATCGTAAAATTTCTAATTCTACTTCAAATAATGAAACCTTTTAAACAAATTGTTAGCCTATACTCCTAAAATAAGAAGCAGGTTCTCAACTCGTCTGTATGTTCTGTTTTGTGTTATGCGATATCTTCGTGAATTGTGAGACGCGTTTAATGATTCTTCCTTTAAATATAAGTTCTACGTACGTTAGTGGTAATCCCATGTAAATTTGTTAAAAAAATCCACGGGGTTGGGGTGGGTTTTGTAATAAAACTATTTAGACGTAATTCTATTTGTTTCCTTTAAGTTGTGATATTCAGTAGAAGAGGATCCACTTAAAAAGCCAAAACTTTGACTTCTAACAACCGATTTCAAAGTACTAAAAACAAATCAATAATTTCATATTGTGAATTCAGGGACCTGTTTGGCGTCACTTTAAATTTCTGTCAGTTTTAAGTGGAGGCCTCTGTCCAGAATTAGAGCCTATACAGGCTGTAATTTTAACTTTTGTTAGTTCCATTACATTGTAACATCCTTAATTCAAATCGATTTGGTTAATTTATTGAATAGTTATTAAAGCACAAATGTCATTATACACAGTACCATCACCAGGTATTGGTGGTAGGAGGTACCACATTACCAACAAATAGTATTGCTGGCCCTGCAGTGTTCTGCTCTGAACGGTATAGAGAGTTAGTATTATTAGCTGAATTCCTCCGACATGCCTCAGAGGTAGCAACGCTTCTGAAGACTTCTTTGTTAAGAGTTGGCTGCAGATGTCCGTGGACTGCAGGAGCCACATACCTCCAGGTGGACTGCAGGAACCACATACCTCCAGGTGGACTGCAGGGGCCACATACCTCCAGGTGGACTGCAGGAGCCACATACCTCCAGGTGGCCTGCAAGTTCTTTGTCACTTCAGCTTCATAAAATAAAATCTCTGAATTAGCGGTCTCCGTTTTAAAGAAATAAAATCGTATCATTCGTGCTTGTACGCGGGTGGTCTGAAAAGTTTCCGACCTAACAAAGATACAAGAACATTTTTTCTTAAATTTTATTTTTATTTTTCTACATAGTCTCCTTGTAACTCTACACACGTCTCCCAGCGATGCTCCCATGTCTTTAACCCGTTCAATTAGTACTCAGCGTTTTTTTCTGCAAAATAATTGTTCGTCATTACCGCTTCCTCTTTTGATGAAAATCTCTCTTCTGAGCAATCAATTAATAGATAAGGGAACAAAAAGAAGTCGTTTGGGCTAGATCTGTTGAGATATTTTGATTGTCAAGCAGTTTAAATCGTAATTCGTCGATTTTCGCCATGACAACTGTTGAGGTGAGAGACAGCGTGTTGTCATGGTGAAACAGAATTTACTTTATCTACAAATGTGGCTGTTTTTCCACAATTTGTGTATCAGATTGTCAAGTAATGATGTGTAGTATGCTCATGTAATAGTTTTGCCTTTTTGAAGATAATCGACTAAGATAAATCCATGACTATCCAAAAAACACTTTATGCTTTTTTTGGAGCCGGTTATCCTTTGCAGTCCATTGTTATGTCTGTATTTTTTTCGGCCGTAGAATGGTGTATCCAAGTTTCATCTACAGTAATTAATCGCCGCCAAAACTTTGATTTATTGCGCCTCAACTGGACCAAAAAATATTTGGAAATGTTCATTCGAACACGTTTTTGGTCTACCGTGAGAAAACGCGCGATGTGATCGTGTGTGTGTAACAATGTGAAAAACATGTTCTTTGGACATTTTCATAGCCTCTTGCTATCTCTTTTACTTTAATTCGACGGTCATCTAGCACCATTTGGTGAACTTTAGCGATGTTATCGTCAGTAGTTTGCAATTTTTGGACGTCCCGAACCTTCAACGTCTCCCAAGCTCTCACGGCCACGTTTAAATTCAGTTACCCAAAATTTCAGTGTGGTATATGATGGTGCAAAAACCCCAACAAAAATTTAATAACGATTCGATACTCAGTTTTCCATTTTCACAAAAACACTCACAATTCACTCTAACGACTGTAAAATATCAATTCTACGCGTCCAAAATGGTTGAAATTTTGGTGCGTAACTATCAAAACATGCACAACTACATTCATAAGCTTTTATTGACAAGTGCTGTCATCTTCACGCTGAGGTCGGAAACTTTTCAGATCACCCTGGTATTATTCTTATTAAATAGTAAGAAGTGAAGGCTGCGTGGAGCCACCGCGGACGCACGCTTGCGTCGGCGGAGGCTTCTAAGGCGCATCAACAACGGTCGAACGTCTGGACAGTCAGCAGACTGCTGTGACGGGTGTGCAAATGTAAATACGGTGTGACATGACACAATGAGGACATATGAAGAAGTTTAGCGTAAATACGTCGGATCGTCGTCGGCGGCGGTGCGGAAAAGTGGTAAGAATGCGTGCGTGTTTACATGGTGTGCGTTGGTACTGACATGCGCGAGCTGGCTCTGCCGCTGCGGCTCCTTTAGCGCCGGCAGCGCCGACACCAGCACCGAGCGCGACCGCGTCACGCTGCGGGCCAGCTTTGCGAACTTCGACAGACCTGCGTCCACGAACCCTCACATTTATTATACTCTATCAATGTTTGAAGAGCAACTATCACGCTGCAGCTATATTATAGTTGTAGCATGAATGGGTAGGCTCGACCGGGGAAGGACCACACTCTCACAGAATCCCAGCTTAAATTAGTAGTTTAATGCTGCTGTGTTTCGTATGGTTAATATAGAGAACCAGTATACCATCTTAGTCCATATTCTTAATTGATTCGTCTATGGGCCACAGCATCCACCTACCATCAGGTGGACTGTGTACTCGTTTATGACCCTTATTCTATAAAAAAAAACTTTTTATCGAAAGGAGCAACAAAGAATAGACTAGTATATGATAGTGGTGATGGTAATCATATCATAATAAAAATTTCGAATAATTTGTAAACATAGACCGAGAGATCGATTAAAGCCCACGAAAAAGAACTTATGGCTGACGGGAAGCATTGACGCTCTGGGAAATGTGCACCCTGTGAAAGAGTTTAGGATCATACTTACCTATATATATTATAGACTTGATTAACCACAAATCCTAATAAAAGAACACCAATCCCTACCAAAGATGTTTGAAATTGAAATGTATACAATAATATATAATATAATATGTTTATCATTTCTTTTTAGTTCTTTATTGAACCTTGCCAAACAGTACAAGATTAAAATACGAACTTAATGCTAAAATCGTTCTCTTCCAGTCAAACTTAGGGCAGTGTTAACACTACGAACCTAAAAAATATAAAAAGTAAACATGTACACACATATCTTAATATATGAATACCTAAGATAGGGAAGTGACGATAATATATAAGGTATGTGAAGGTAATATAAGCTTTGCCGCCTCATAAAACATGTACAAAAACACAAAGTCGTATACCATAACTAATATATTAAGAAAAAAACAAAGAAGAACAGTTCAAAAAATCAAACTAAACGAAAACTAACTACATTACACCACACTAAAAATCGATGATAATAATTAAATATTTAATATAATGTCAACTGTCAAAATGGCGTCGATAAATCAGCACCCTTTTGACCCTTCATTATTTTATTGACCGATGAAAAGCTATCGTATCACAAAGCCATCTATACAAACAAGGCTGCAGTTTTTGAGTTATAAGAAAATGACCATATTAACCGGATGACCATATTACCCTCACGATACACTCATATACAGAAATATATATATAATATGAGACAATATAATATAAGGAATTTCAATAGAGATGATGGCTGGGTGTTACCATCACTTGGGGATCCCATATATGTATAGGCCTATACCGTCTGCCGTATTATAGACGGCAAACTTTCCACGGCTGGACGCGCTACTGGACAAAGTAGCGCTATCCTAGCCTGGAGAATAAGAATTAAAGAACGTATCGCAAAGGCTAGGGCCTTCATCAGCAGACTGAAATGCTTCAGGTCAGGCAATAACAGGCCAAGGGTTGTGCGCACCGTCAGGATGCGTTTGCTGGGACAAATGTCAGTTTGTCCCAGCTGGATATATCACAAAAACTGACGGAGCGCATAGACGACCTGAAGCAGAGAATCGCTGCTGTTGAGCAGTAAATTGCCGTTACATATTTAAAGTAATTTCTCTTTTAGATTATGACATATTTACTATTTAAAAGTTATGTCATATAGAAGTCGAAGAATTTTGAGTTTGGTTTTGAAAACGAAGGCGTTCCAAAGTAGTCACTTTGGAACGCCTTGTTTAGTCAAACATCCGCTTGCTTATCTCGTAATGCTTAAAACAGGATACCGGTGATATCTACACTAATATTATAAAGAGGAAAAATTTGTTTGTTTGTATTGAATAGGCTCCAAACTACTGGACCGATTTGAAAAATTCTTTCACCGTTGAAATCCTACATTATCTCTGATGAACATAGGCTATAGTACATTTTCAAAAAAGTTAGGGATCCGTATAAAAACTTCGTTAATGTAACCCTCGGCGTGAAAAAAGTACCAAAAGAATCCTTATATCGCATACGCTGCGGAAACTATTGACAATAGAGCAAAGTAATATACTACAGTTTTATAGAAGATATCATTATCTACAAAAAATCCCCGATATTATATATCTAACTGTTACAGTTATGTCAAAATAACCACATTTCATAATGATAGAAAAATTCTTATATTTACGCGAACACTACACATTGAAATAATTACTAGTTTTTACGGAATTTATCGCTTATATTTAACTTTTTTAATACCCGACGTTTCGAGAGCTTTACAGCACCCATGGTCACGGGAAGGACTGAGATGTTCAACGTCCAGATGTCATAGTTAACCGCGGTTACCATAGATTAAAATTTAACTTTTGTTCCGATCTACACAGTATGAACTTATGGTATCATGATGTCTTGCAGTTGTATGCTTGGGTTGGATTTTAATTTTATTTATTATAGGATCCCAAGCAGATGGTAGCACCCAGCCATCTTCTCTATTGAAATTAGGATGTTTTTTGATTTCAATAGCCTCGCGAATCATCCTTGGAAGAAATTGGTGTTCTTTAGCGAGGATTTGTGGTCTATCAAATCTGATGTAGTGACGGGGGCGATCCTGTACATGTTCACAGACTACAGACTTCCCGGAGCGTCGATTCTTCACATCAGCTATATGTTCTTTGACGCGGGTTTTAATTGATCTTTTAGTTTGTCCTATATAGGAGAGACCACATTCACAATCAAGCTTGTACACTCCTGCATCTTGCAGAGGGACGTTACACTTGACTGATGGTAAAAACTGACCAATCTTCTTCGGCGGCTTGAAGTATGTTTTGATGGAAGCGCGCTTCAAGATGTAGCCAATCTTGTCAGTGACTCCTCTAACATATGGCAGTACAGCAGGTACACGCTCGACTGTGGCCGGCTTCACTCGTTCTCTGTGACGTAGGCGCGGGACCCGAAGCTTGTTGTCATGCAAAACTTGCTTGACGTGTTGGAGCTCGGCAGCCAGGTGTTTACTGTCACAGATCCCTCGTGCTCTCTGAAACAAAGATTTACCCACGGTAGCTAACTGTGAAGGATGGTGGTGAGAATCACCATTTAAATATCTATCTGTATGGGTCTTTTTTCTATACACAGTATGGCTCAAGGTGTTATCAGGATTCCGAATTACTAACACATCTAGAAAAGCTAAGGAATTGTTTGCCTCTAACCCCATTGTGAACTGAATTTTAGAATTTATAGAGTTAAGATGGTCTAAAAATGCAGTTACTTTATCTAAAGGTAGAATTGTGAAAGTGTCGTCTACGTACCGCTTGTAGAATCTTGGATTTATGGGAGAAGTAAGCAGGGCTTTCTCCTCAAAGTCTTCCATGAATATGTCGGCGACAATGGGAGATACAGGTGAGCCCATCGCCGCACCATCTACTTGCTTGTAGAACTCCTCCTTCCACAATAAGTAGCCAGATGTAAGGCAGTGTCTGAGTAATACTGCATATTCTACGGGCATGTTGTTTTCTTCCAGCCTTCTAGTTACAATTGAGATGCAGTCTTCAACAGGTAAGCATGTAAACAATGACTGCACATCAAAACTGACCATAGTTTCATTGTCTGCCAGACGCAGGTCTTTAATCTCGCTGACAAAATGGTAGGAATCCTTTATGTGTGCTCTTGTATGTCCCCTAAGCGGTGAGAGTATTTTCGCTAAGTGTTGAGCCAATCTGTAAGTTGGTGAATCGATTTGGCTCACTATGGGACGTAATGGAGCATTGGGCTTGTGTATTTTTGGTAACCCATACAACTTTGGTGATTTGGCGCACGTAGGTATTATCCATTTTACGTCCAGATTTAATTTTTCGGAATGTTTCTTTATGAGGTCACTAGTTGTTTTTAGTGTCTCTCTATAAGCTCTCGAAACGTCGGGTTAAAAGTTAAATATACGCGATAAATTGGTCCGTAAAAACTAGTATTATTTTAATGTGTAGTGTTCGCGTAAATATAAGAAATCATTATGTAAACCAGTACGGACTGGTAATTGCAAATAAAATACGCCGATTAGAAGATCTAAAGACTAAGCGCGCAAGATATCTAACAGCCTTAAATTTCTTGAAGAGATGCCGAGACCATAATCTCATTCCTACGTGTGTCAAAATATCCACCAAAAAGGACATTCGAGGAAGCGCTAAGATCTTAAATCAGGCGAGTAAAAAAGTTGTTACGGGCGGTAATTCAACAAAAACGCTCCGATCTATATGACATCAATAAATCCATAGACACATCATCCAGTGAATTAAAGAAAGTTTTAACGACATTTGATTATAATTTTTGCATGGAAACATTAAATAAACGCGAAATTAGTAAATATAACGAATGCAAAAACAAACATATAGAAAAATATCAAAAATTAACGGCCAAATCAAATGTCAAACATCCGAATCAATGCCAGAACCAAAAGCAACCATTGACAAACACAGATCATAGATTAATCGCGTTCTATAATCTGTCAAAACAAACACTGGATGATGCAACAATTAAGGTTTTATCCAAAGGACTCAATTATGCTATAAGTCCGCGCAGATTACCGTACGAAGAAATTATCTGTAGCGTCGAGGACTGTTTATTTAAAAACAATATGCGGAAAGAAGATTTGGAGGCGATACGTCAAGACATTTCGTCTATGTTACGTCGATGTTCAGTGCCTAAACCGAATCTTCCCAGAGACGAATTTATAGCGTTAAAGAACCTACGCAATAAACCAGAACTTACGATTCTCCGCGCAGATAAGGGAAACGCCACGGTAGTCATGGATACGTCAGATTATAATTCTAAAATACAAGAACTTTTGTCGGATGTAAGTACTTATAAAAAAGGTTAAAAACGACCCAACAAATAGCACACTAAAAACAACTAGTGACCTTATAAAGAAACACTCCGAAAAATTAAATCTGGACGTAAAATGGATAATACCTACGTGCGCCAAATCACCAAAGTTGTATGGGTTACCAAAAATACACAAGCCCAATGCTCCATTACGTCCCATAGTG